CCAAGGTTTACTTAACAAGCTGGAGAACTTTACTAGGAAACTAGAAAAGATTATTTGCAGTGAAAGTTAACATTTTCACCTGCCAACAGCTTTAATTTTACATAAATCATATACAGTCAGATTTCCTAAAAAAACAAAACAACCCACAAGTATTGACAACTGGTCACTCTCTAGACTTACTCAGTGTGTCCTGCTACAGTTTATTCTATCATTTGTTGAAAAATTTCCAACCTTTTTCCCTTGTCAGCTTCCACTTAATTCTATTTCGGAATGTATTTCACCTCTGCATTATCTGAGTTTTCAGAGAGTTGCGTTATCATTATGGATTTTCCTTCACTTAAAAATACGACAAACTGAAAAGAATGGCCTGCTACTGAGAAACAGTCAGGATATAGGTGAAGTTTTCACTACGGATACATCTCACAAAAGAAATAGGGCAGATAGTTCGAGCATTTCATCAGGCTCCACAAGTGCATGTTTAACATACTCTCATATACCAAAAGTACAGAAAAATCGAAAACTCCAAACTTGCTGTTCTTGTAAGACTTAACAGACATACAACAAAGGATTGAGAACAGAATACATAAAGGGTTTCCAAAGGCTGATGATTTATTCCTAGAGAACTTGTAGGACTTAAAATATTTCCAATCTACAAAGATCAAAAATTGAGGTGGCTTCTACTGCTTAAGCAGAACTTGCATAGACACCACTGCTTGTGACCTCTGAGGCTGAGAAGCTAGCTGGTCTAACTTCTACTTTTCATAGTTATATAGCCCAAGGACTGAAAGAAGTCTAAYTTCCACAAAGATGAGTGTAGTTTGGGGCTAAACACAAGCATTCCGCTGTCTTGCGAGACCTGTGCATTTGGATGAGGAGATTGAAGAACTGCAAACCAAGCTTTCCATTTGCCTGCACATTTTATCTGTTATATATGAAGTTATAGATGAAAGGATAAAGTGGAGMTAAATGTCTTTATTACTTTCCTGAAAAAAAAAATCTGAGTTGGACTGTCATACTTTAAAAATGAAAAATACTATGTATTATTGAAAGGACCAGAGTTTAATTTAATTAAGAAAACAGTATTCAATCCCAGTCTCAAAATATCACCTTCTACGACAGCACAAATCAGAAAAATCTGTAAAATTTCAGCCTCTCRCAGACTGTGGAAGAACATAAATGATTTTTGTAATGCTAAAAAGAATCAGAAACAAAACTTTAATTTATCTCTTGACCRAAGTCAGCACAAGAATGTAAAATCAACAATATGCTTACGAGTCTAACATGCACACGGACAAAGTAGACACCTTTAGCAGAACACATATTTTTCATGCCACCCTAAAAAGGTCCTCTATTTTCTTGCCAGAATAGCTGGTGCATCTTACATTTCTACGTACAACATAGACATTCAAATACACGATGAACTGGAAAAGGGATGGGGGATTTGGTGGTTTTCTAAAGTTGTGCAAAAAAGGGCTTTTTCTTTATTTTTTTAAAGAGCGTTTGGCTAGAATTTGGAAATAGTTAGGARATAACCCATATGCAAGGAAAAAAATATATAAAAAAATTTACTCATCAAGCTAGTCACAATTCAAGTTTGTGTGAAAAATGGAAAATGGCCATCAAAAACATTTCTCACATGAACATTCATTTATACATCAAATTATCATCCCCTTTAAGCTGTTGGTGAATCTCCTTTTTAACTCCACTTTGGCTTTTTATACACACAGTCTTACTTAAGAAGGACACACAGAGGAAAAATACAAATATATTTTCCAAATAGCTTTCTGCATTTTGTATATCCTTCCCATCTAGTGCACAAAAAACCCCAAAAGGAATGTGATCATTAACTTGTTACTTCACTGATTAGGAATTTTGCTTGGAAGGGTTAAGATGGAAAGCACTTACTCTGTAACAAGCATTAGAGAATTGAACATAGCCCTGCAAAGAGCTCAACAAATGTCCCTTCACAAAGAAAGACTACATCGCCTACATTTTGTTCCATTCTGCCAGTTCATAGGGTTTTTTCCATGAATTATTAATGAAGCATTGTGAACAGGCAGGAGAAAAAAAAAAGAAATAAAACATATAAAATCAAGCCTTTAATTTTTTTTCCCCTAGGTGTAACAAAAATTTAGCTCGGAGAACTCAAGACAGTGCRTAAGGACATGGGGATGGTAGGGAAAAGGTCTGAATTTACTTGTTTGGATTCCTCGGACAAGCTTGTGAACAACTCCTGGTTTACAAATCTTGTTGGTCATAGAGCAGCTAAAGCATCTGATGCAAAGGAAGAAAAGAATTAATGCTAACATTCATTACCTGCCGCTGAACTGACTAAAAAAAGGCTCCAGGCACCATAGCACCCAATGGGCAGAAGATACAGATTTGCAAAGCAGAAAAACAGTGTGGAAATGAGTGGTGCAAGTGACATCTGGCACAGACTGACATATTGTAGTTTCCACCGAGTTAGCTAGAAACAGGACACTGTCCAGTTCCGTTTAGCAGACAGTTCTGAGAAAAATKACTCTGTAAAGAAGTGTGAAGAGTTTATGAACAGGTAAGGGCTGTTCATAAACTCTTGCACATACATTTATATACATGTGTGTGGTGTATGTTTGTACAAATCAAAGCACCATCTCATCAGCCTTAAAAAACCAGGGGGGCAATTCTATAGTGCTGCCCACAGGATTGCTTTATTGCTATCAGAGCCTGTCATACTTCAGGCTAAAAGTGCTGTACACTGTATGAAGATTTTTGCCATTTTAGTTGTGATATTCAGGTACAAATCTTTTTATATTCTTCTTACATCTCAAAGAACAACATGATTAACAACRTCATCTGCTCATACATTCAAATTATTATTTTTCATGAACTCATTGACAGAGGGATTCTAGGAGGACATCAGCTAGATTTCCAGATGTACACTTTTGGGCCTTTGAAGTGGGAAATAAAGAAAATGAAACATGTATATATTAAAATGTGATATGCCTTCCCTCTGTAATTCCTGTAAGACCAAATTTGAGAATTCTGAAATTAGTGGTCTGGTATTAATAAATTCAAACTATGCATCAGAATTAATGTCCCATCTCTAGAATTATTTTAAACCTTTTTTTTTCATGCCTGACATATTTACTTCGGAACTCAAAGATCAAAAAAAAAAGTCTTTGCGAGTTCCTCAGTGCTAATCTTGGTGGCATCTTTCAACKGTCCTTTTAAAGAAAAGGCACAAACACATTACAGTGAAGTGGAATGAAMTCACTGTAAGGAGGTATGCAGCTTATTGAATCTGTCCACTCTGAGCTTGTTTTCTGAAAAAAAAACCAGAAGTTCATTTCCCTAGAAGTCCCTCTAGAAGTGAGCTCTAAGAAAGCCTGAAAAAACTCCAGGTAGCAGAAAATCTGTGTTTCTGCTAAGAGCTCTGAGCTGAAATACCCAACTATTAGGTGTCATTGTTGAACTAAATTCATTATGATCTGACGTTTTTGTTTCTGTCTATTCTGTATCCATAATGTGGCAACAATCCCTAAAGTTTTGACCTATATTTCTTCTATTCTACCAATACTCTTTGGCTAAATACTGCTATTCTTCAAACTATAACAGGTATCCAATCAAAGATACTTCCTCTCAAGCCCACAGGCAGATCTCCATTTCAATGATAACCATATCCAGTTCAAAACTTGAACCCAAGTATTCTTTGTGAGTGTGAACACCTCGAAAAGCTTAGCACCAGAGACCTCTGCAAACTGCATTACATTATTTTTCAACCAAAATTTTCTGCGGAAAATGTACAAATAGGAGCTGGAACTACTGATATTGTGTGACASATTTAAAAGGAGGAAAGGCAAAAAGATGTTTTTACAGATGGATTTTGACCTAATGTAATTTCCTTTGCAGCCCTACACACATCTGTAGATGCAGAACAAGGTACAAAATAAAAGCATTAGAAGTATACTTAAGTACAGGATAATACTTGGGGATCAGGAAAGGGACAGATGCCACAAGGCTTGAATGGAGGACAACCAGAAATCATGGCCTGCCATAGAGCATAAAACCCCACTCAAAACTCTCCTGAAAGAGAAACCYCAGAAATCACCAGGACTCCTTCCACAGCGTTAGCAAGCAACTGCAAAASCCTCCTCTCAACCCCAAAAAACTTTGCAASRAAACATCTGTGGCAGTYGCCAAAAGTCTTGAGAAYGCTGAGTTTAAGTACAGCCAGGGTRTATGTGGAGGAGGCAAATCTTCTGGAGGATTTTGCTTTAATGCGTGCTCAAATGTGGCCTGTGGCACATTCAGACCTCATCTGAGGCCTTCTCCAGATGTAAATGTTGTTGCTCTTTTGATCGACTGTCCTCATAAAAAGTAAAATACTCCCTCTCAAACTTAACATGACTTTGGAAGATTTGTGCACACCTTAGCTGCTCCACTTGGTGCCCAAGCTTATGCACCACATGAGTAAATTACACAAAGGAAGAAATGGCTTTATTTTGTGCTGTGTTTAGACAAACATGAAGGCAGGGACAYGAGGGGAAGGGCCCTACCCTCCTGCTCGCCACCTGTGCCCCATTTCCCACCTCTGCTGTGGGCCACAAACCCTCCACCCAACTCCGTTAAAAGCCTCTYTCGAGCAGATTACTTCGAGTAACTACTTTTCCATCACTGCCTCAAGTTTCCCCTTTTAAATCGCCAGGCGAGCTGCCCATGTGAGAGCTAAGATGTTCATTTAGTTTCTGTTCAGCTGTGGCATCACTTGCAGCAGAAGGGCCCCTCATCCCAGCCTTCCAGAGGGGCTCTTCACCCCGGGGCAGTTCAGCACAGCAAGTCCTGCWCCTCGTTCAGGAGGCCATACCGTGATGATGGACACAGACTGAGGTGGCTGAAGTGTCCCTGCAGACACCCTGCTGCTCCCAAAATGGTGGTGAATCCACCACAGCGACGCCGCGCCCTTTCCTCAATAGAGCTGTAAGGTAACTAACTCCTCGCAAAGCCAAGGCCCGCCTTACCTGCGGCTGGGAGCTGTGCCCGCAGGGTGGCAAGGATGGCGATCCTCCTCCACTTCATCCCGCCAGGCCGGACAGAGTGCGGAGCGGAGGCCTCGGAGAGCAGCAGGCGCGGCTCCCGCACGGGCTGAGCTCGAGTGCGGCCGCGCAGGAAGCGGCTCCCCGGCGATCAGAGCTTCGGGAGTCCACCTGCCGGCTTCCTCTGCTGCACCGCCGAGGGCTGGGTTTGTCTTCTTGGTAGCGATGGTTGGGGTTTCCTTTGACAGTGTTATTCAGCCTTTTCCTCTTTGCAAGACGGTTTTCAGTGAGTTGGGTTTTTTTTTTCCCCCACTCTGATGGTTCCTAGATCGCCCCCACTCAGCGGCTGCTGGTCTCTATTTCTGGTATCAGATTTGACCTGACTTCACAAGAGATCTACGCAACAATTCCCAGTGTGGAGCACAGGGCATAAATAGAAGTTTAAATTATAATCGCTCTTGAACAATATAGCTGGCTAAGCTCATAAGGATAGAAAACTGATTTCTAGCTCCCACTTTGTAAGAAAACTCACATTATTGCGCTCTTTCCAAATGCAGACAAATAAAAATTTCCACTTTTCTATTAGTGAAAAAATTCGTTTTAGATAACCGTGAATTAGAAAAGCTTGAGAMTGTGGCTTAGATGATCCCTAAGGCCTAAAGCTCAGCCTGACTGCCATCAAAATACATCTGGCTGAACACTGAGTGTTCAGTGTTTACAGCWGTAATATTACTGATACACTTGAGTATCAATACACTGAAACAATTAGGCTGGAAGAAGCACAAGCACCTTAATGCATAATTTTTTTCCCTCCTGTTTTGAATTCTTAGAAAAGAGAGAGGAATGTGCATTCCCAGGAGATTCAGAGACTGGTGATAACAATTTCCCAAAAGAATAACAGGACGAGAGTTAYTGTACACACAAAAGTTAAGGACTTATAGTCTTTTGAAGGCAAAGTAAATTGAAGTTCTTGGAAGAATTTAATCACCTTGCTGYGTGGAATAATGAAGGTGAATACATGGATAAAACAGACTTTCCCTTTTATTTAATAATTGCTATATATTATGCCAGTCAATACCAAATTCACTAGAYACCAGCAGTAGTCTGACAGCAGGTTATGTAAGAGTGCAGCACGCCCTTCTGTGATAYCCAGAAATGCTGCTGAGCCTCTGCTCTCTCCCAGCCTTGGGTTTCTTTGTGGATCTTCTACCCCAAAAGCTCCAAGGGAAGGCTGGAGATGGGCTCTGACTTACAGCGGGCAGAAAGCAGAGCACAGCAAGGGGAGCTGCCATGCACTGAACCTGAAAGAGGTGTCATTAGTCCCAGAAATAGCTGTGCTCAGGTACATGTTCTGTGTTCCAGTGCAAGCTGAATAAAGCCCTTTCTGTCCACATCCCTGTGTAACAGAAGATTGGCTGAAACAAGGAATTAGTGAGCAGAAAAAGACCCCTGCTCTCACTGCAGGCTGCCTAAATCTCACTGATGCCTTATCCAAAAGCTAAAATAATATCATCCCTGTTATTGATATTTTTGGGTAACGTTTTTTTCAGAGAAGCAGATGGCAGTGCTCATCACTATTCCACTGACCCCTGTCTCCTCCTGTTATTGATCATGGCTTCTCCCTCCGGCAGAAAGCCGCAAATTATCACTTTGAATAAAGAGTTGAGGCCAAAGGTAAGGAAAAGAAATGAAGAGCTGTGTAAGAAAGGGAGATTAATGGCAACAGTAGGCACACTGGGAGAACAGCAGTTGGGCCAGTGTGTTTTGATGTCTAGATAGGGAAAGGTCACAGAAATAGAGTATATGGACTTCAGTTGGAAGTGTGGGTAGAGTCAGAAAAAGGCTTTGCATGACAGTGCCCCTAGAAATTCTCACCTCCCTATCCCTCAGCTTTTGAAATAAGGGAGCTCATCATTATCCAAATATAATCAAAGTACACAAAAGAGCACTCATGCTTGTATTATGAGTTATTCTCACAACAAGCATGGCATGAGATATGCAAATCACACACAAACGGACAGTACAGGAAAAGATAAAGGGGAAGTGGTCTCTCCTCTAGGAAAAAAGCTTTTCTGTGTTTATAAGGCTTGCAATTCTACACGACGAATGATTTGTTTCGAGTGTCACCTTCTTTTCAGCCTTCTCATGTTTACACTTCTGGGAGCAAGATAGCACTGTGAAAACCTCCTGCCCACATTGTGCATTGGCCAATTTTGCACATGCATTTTTACCAACAGTTTAAACCATACTGATGCTTCCGTTTACTCACTTCAGTCAGATCTTGGAGTAAGAACTTTGTTAACCCTGGGCTAGAAATGAATGCCGACCCCAGCTCAGCTGAACCAGCAGCAATTTTTCTCAATACAGACAAGGCCACAGCGGAAATATAAAACCCTTCCTGCTGTGTTAAGAAAGGCTCTCAGCTAAACTTAATTCTTCATCTAAACATATGGGTGGAGGAAAGTACATTTCCAAGAATTACCTGCACTGGGAAGACTGCAACATTTGATCTGTGGTTCCTGAAACAGAATGGGTCAGGGAACTGAAGTGGTCCCCAAGCACAGCTCAGTGTGTTTAATGCTGGTTAAGGTGCAGCTCATTATCCGTAAGGATCAGATCTTTCATAAAATAGTCAAAGCATACATTCAGCCAGTTCTGTACATCCATATGCCATCCTTTCTCTGGACACAAAAAATCCTGGAACAGCTCTAATGCACGGGGTTGATTCATCCCCAGAAGCATTCCCTTTTCACGCTCACTGGTTATGCTTTGACTGTACTATAAAAAAAAAAAAAAAAAAAAAAAAAAAAAAAAAAAAAAAGCAGCAGGGTTTGCAGTTTTAACAGGAAATAAATGAAAACTAAAAAAACAAACCCACACCACAGTCAAGCTGAGGATTAAAAAAAATATATAACTACACACTGCCCTCTGGCTCCTGTATTGCTACCACAGAGATATGCCTGTAATCATCACTGCAGACTGCTGGGATTGAGAACAGGTCGGTTATCAGGAGCTCTTCTAAGCCTATTTGATACAGTTAGCACTTGCAGGCAAAATTAATTCCTACATCACCTGATGGAAGAGCTGGCCAACTTTAGAGATGTGAGAATCCAGGCAGACTGCAGAGCCTTGCCCCTGCTCCGGCAGGGAGTGACGCTTGCAGTGCCATAATTCACTCAACAAGTATTAAAAACGTTTTTTGGAGATGTTCACACAAAGATAATGGGTGTTAAAAAAAGCAACAATTYTCACTGGTGAGACAGCTGTAGCCTCCAGCCAGGCATGCCATTCATGTAGGAGACTGATACACTGAAAAGAAACGCTCTGCTGTTTATGGTGTCTAAACCCACAATTTTTATTGATAAAATGTTGCAGACTGACAGTCCTACGCTGCTTCACTGCATTTCAATGCACTGTAGTGCCTTACAGTGCGGCTTCGATTTGCTGTAATTGGGTTCAACTGTGCTAATCCCCTTGGAATGCAGCAATTAATACTTATTTAGTGGTAATTGCTGCATTCCAAGAGGATTAGTCGTTGCCCTGCACTTTTGCCAGTGTTGCAAATGGAGAGCTGGAAAAAAGAGCGTCTAACTRCAGGTCTTGCTTTGCAACTCCCAACAGGGAGACACAAGTTGGTCTTGCCACAAACGCTCCCCATTGCTCCCCATTCATACACATTCATTGTGTATGAAAACCTTACTTTTCCGAGGAAAACCCACCTGACTGTCACTATTCCTTGCAGCTACAGTGAGCAAATAGAAACCCTGACATATGCAGCAAGGGGAAAAAAAAACCAAACACAAAAGGACACCTGTGCAGTACCACAAAGATAAACATGGCCACCATGAGTGCATGTTTCCCATGGGAGATTATAAACAGGCCCTGATGCAGTGCAAGARCAAATTTCTATTCATTATCTGTGGGATTTTTGTTACTAGCAGTTTCCTGCTCTTGGTACGGTCTTAAAATTTTCAGTGCAACACAGGTTGTGGAACATGACAAAGGAATTGTTAGCAGAAAGTTAAAATACACCCTCTTTGAATGCTCAATTTTGAGACCACTGAATCTGTAATGTCCAATTTTTCCCTCCCTGGTGAAGCCTTTATGATCTGCTCTGGATTTTTTTTTTTTGTTGTTGTTAATGCACTGAAGTGACAACTGCTTATGACATACCTTAAGAAGGAAGAACAATGCTTCTTTTTTTTTTTTTTTTAGGCTACTCAAGCTACTCTCTCTTGCATCAACACTTTCACCTGTTAATTGCAGGGGAATTTCCCCAACTACATTGCAGCATATATAGAAAAATTATGGGACTTTATCACTAAACACATTCTGGAAATGCTCTTTTTAATTTTAGAGCACCTTCAGTATTTTCTTCCGTGGCTATATRGAATATAACTTATCAGGTGAGGCTTTTTATGAATATAAGAATATTGTGAAGCCACATTTTAAGGTCTGTGACAAGTATCTTAATCTCCTTTACCCTCCTCCCCTCTTCATCCCTAACACACACCTCTTCTGCATGTTTCAAATGCTCATCTGAGGAAAAACCTAAATTAACTGAAACTAATTTAAGCATTTAAAAAAATGCAATTAATGCTTGATTAGRCAACTGTTTTTGGCTAAATGACAACAACGTAAGGGTGCAATGTTCTTATAATCATATAATGCAGGGTTTGTGCAACTATTTCTCTTTCTTATCTCTAAACARTTGTTGCCTTTCAATCTAGAAACAGTTACTTGTTCCTACTGGAGTTTAACAGTTTCCATTAACATAAAAACATAATATAAAGACAAATTATCAATGTTTTCATGTAAATAGACATGCTTACATGTGCAATTACATTTTATTTCTTGACAGTCTTTCTCCACCTTTGCACGCATACACACACACACCTTCCGTATGCTGTCAAATTACTCTGTAGCAATCACAAGTTTATTTTTAAAAGCCTTAAAATTAATTACTCACAGATTAAAACCAACTTATCTTGTTCTTCATATAAAGCATTCCTGTCATCTAAGGCTACCAAAATGAGTTACGATTTTTTTACATGAATCCTACGAGCTTGGTATCTACATTTTCAGAGGTAAGAGGAGGGGAAAAGTAATGATGAAAAGTGAGTAAATTTACAGTCTGAGTCAGTGGCAGTAGCAAAAATAACGTGAAGTGGTTTTAAACCTGTGTGGGTACATTGCCAATATTATTGAGGCTGAGGGACTCTCCTCTTTCAAAAAGAACCACAGCAGCTGTTGGGCCCACCACCATAAATGTGGCATCTCATTTTTTGGAACTGGAGAAATTCCATGCAAAACTAAGTGTAACAGCTGCAGGCACCAGAAGCAAATGTAATAGGGAATTTTTAAGGCTTTTTAAAATGTAGGATATGAAGAGCTAGAGGAAAAACATTATTCAAAACAATCATTACAGCTATCAGGTTCTTTGATTAAAACCTGGCAACCCCTAAACAATACAGAATTTCACCCCTGCTGATACRAACTGCATACCTGGTCACACTCAACCAGRAGACTCCGGCTCTATAATCAGCACAACCAATGAAACTCGAATTTTTACAACCCAKGACTTTTGAACCTTTAATACACATGAAGTGGATTTTGTTTCCTCTCCCGAGCTCACAGTTGTCATGACATTTATAGGAGCTTGATGGCTTCAAGGTCAGACTTCCAATTTCAAATCTGAATCCAACAGAATAAAAATAAATTCAGCAAAGGCAAGCATCCAGCAATGTTACCTAAGCTTTATTTCCACGGAAAACCAGGCTGTGAGGAATGTTGACCATTACACCCAGAATGAATGAGTCTCACAGCCTAATCTTCTTACATGACAATTCAACTCAGAAACTCTGAGGAAGCCTCTAGAAGTTCTTAAGCCAAAAAGCCCGGGGAGCAACTCCTAGAGGCTTGCACGAGAAACTCAACAGGCTGCACTCTCCAGGCGGGAAAATACTATTATTGGGGAGCACCAAGGGAAAATACAATTATTGGGGAGATCAAGGACTGCTCCACCCGAGCAGAGGAGCTGCCAGGCAGAGCAGGGCAGGGRCCTCAACACAAGATAAGCAGTCCCACAATACGTGGACAAGAAGAGTTTAGGTGGCAGCAACCGGGATCAACCACATTTGAGTCGGGTTTGAGCGAGCAACAAGAGCCCAAGCACTAACACAGCCCTCAGGAAAAGAAAGGGAAGCTTCAGGCTTTTCCCAGCTCTGCCTAATCGCCCAAAAACCTGCACATTATCAGGGCTGGCCTCCAGCACAGACAGCCCAAACCACTGGAGAGCAGCCTGAGGGCACTTGAAGAACCCAGATTAATTAGGTGTTGGAAATTACAAATCGGAGTCAAGTGGTTTAATTCAGCTCACAATAAGCCTAAGCCAAAGCACGGTCACGCTAATGAACCCCCTCTCTCTGTCTGACAGAAACAAACACTGTTAAGTCTGGAGCTGGCTGCTCCCAGCCGATGTTCCGAGGCATTCTATACCTGTCTCCATTTCCTTTACTAGAGTTACTTAATTTAAAAACCTTTAAATCATTTTCATGGATATTACTTCTGAGCTCTCCGTAGCACAAAATGATTACAAAACACAAAAACATGATGAATGCTCCTTTTTTCCTCGMAGCCAGCAGGCTGCTGTGTTTATGGARGGAAGCATTCATAATGTAAAGCACTGTAGTAAAAGAATTTGTTCGTATTATGCCCCCGTCGTTTGCTTTTCCAGCATCTTTGAGTTACGATGAATTCAATAACCACTTTTGAGTATTAAACATTTAACACTCCAGCAGAATGTAAGGCTATGGCACCCTCTTGCGTTGAACAACAATATATCAGTTTACTGGGTTTCGAATCTCAATTCAGTGTTTTTWKTMMWSAARA